CGAGCCTACTTTTCGACCCTCCGGAGCCACAAATCATTGGAAAAACGCAGTGTTTTGCGACTTTCCGACCTTTTCACGCATCTGCATCTTCTTTCTTCATACTCTTTCTCTTCTACTCTTCTTTCTTCTAATCTTTCTCTTCTCTCTGCCTCTTCCCTGCTCTGCTTTTCATCTGCCCATATTGTCGGAAGTTTGACTTCTAAACTTCCTTCGATCAATACATATATACATATACATATACAGCACCCTCTGGTTATTTAACATAGCCATGGAAGAAATGGCCGATAGAAATAGATGATTTTCCCACCTAGAAACCTCCATTTATTTTGGGGATTTTCCATGGCTATGTTAAATAACCAGATGGTATACAGATATACATGTCATCAGCTGTCATGCTCATCATCCTCTTCCCACAGAAGAGTTGATGAAGCCACGTCCCAACCGTCCATCAACGTCCCATAGGTCTCGGTGACCCTGTGTGGCGCTCGGTGCGAGTTGCTGAATATCACCAAGACGGAACTTCGTTGTGTCCTGGCAAGGTGGAAGGGTCGAATCGTTTACGACAAGTGTCGGCAAAATATATGGAAAAATCGTAGTCCAATGTTGTCCAAGTGTCCCCATGTTGCATATGTTGCCAGTGGATTCTTCCATGTTCAAATGGTTGCTCATGGATGTCTGATGATTGCTGATTTCTGATGATTTCTAATGATTTCAGCGTGACCTCGCACCACGAAGATTCTCAACTCGGAGCTTGGAGGCCTTCCCTCAGAGGAGCGAACTGGAACTCGCTGGGGCACAACATGGTTCTGAGCAAAAGTGGGAGTATATTAATCAATTTGGCTGATTTCGGATTCAACCAATATCCAATGATTAGTGAACTATGGTTAACTACATGATGTAGAATCTGATGCGAATCCGTAGATATGATAAATATATATATATATATGATATATCATTTTATATATCATGTTACATCTACAAATGATATTTCTCGTGATGTTTTTCACGACCTCCCAGGACCTAAGGCCTTTCGTCCACTTGACTGGATCACCTCACAGGTGCGGTGATCAAAAAAAGGCCACTGACAACTTTAAGGGGGAAACTTTAAGGGAAACTTTAAGGGAAACCATGTTAAATGTCACTTTTAAGGATACTTTTGGGGTATACCTTATTACAATCATCCAAATCTGATAAAGCCTGATTTTTTTGGGGTATATGGAGTATTACCATGTATCACCAAGTTGGCATATGAATCTTGTGATCCACCGTCCCAGGCAGGTGGAGGTGATCCGTGCAGCAGCAACTTGGCCGAGATTCGTCATGTGATCCGATGATGCCAAGTTTGGAACATCCAGTCATGGTTTGCCGCAGCCCCAAAAAACATTGAAATATATTGATAGAGTTTCCCAAATTTGATAGAGATTTAAGTAAAATGTCATGGACACAGCTGAATTATGCTGAGTTGCTGGATTTATTAATATGATTTATATATGATATATGATATATATATATGATATATATATAGAAAGTGGACGAATTCTTTGCTGATATCCCCAGCCAGAAATCGGATGTGAAATCGGAGGATGGCTCTGTGGATGCAGATGTCGTTGTTGCCCCAAGGCATTGGCTGGAAATGTCGGCACACGTCTCTCAGCGTGCTGAAAGCGAATGTGACCCGGCTTGGAGAAACATAGTGGCTTAAAGTTCCTCATTTTTCCTTTGTTTCGCCAGGAGGATCTGGTTGAACTTTTGTTTATCCCTTCTGAGGGGAATAACTGGGGATGAGCAAACGTCCTTTTGATCAGATTGCTTGGGCCTAACGGGTGGGACGGCCCAACCACCAAACCATTGTGATTAGACTGTAGGTGTCACACTTTTGCGGACATCTTCTGGTAGGATCATCTTGAGATAGTTTTTGCGCTGAGGATATGCCCCCTTTCCTTTTTGGTTTGGACATGTTTCAATTCCAGGAATAACGATCAACCATTGGGTGTTCGTTGGCAGAAACCAAGGATCGGGCGCGTCCATTATGTTTCATCATTGTTCATCAGTGTTCATCATTGTTCATCATTGTTCATCATTGTTCATTTGTTTCTTGTCGGGGTCAGTCCTTGACAATGGGTGAAAATTGTGCATTGGATGTGTGAGGCCCACATTTTGATATTTCTGGTGCACGTGCAATCTCAAAGCCGGACTAATAGACCATGGTTTATTCATTGTTGGTGCATGTTGGTGCAGCTTCCATGTAATGTGATTGTAATGTGTTAGAACATGATACTTCAATGGTACCCCTAAACATCCCTAAACAGCGTATATAGAGGTTTATTATATAATCCATCACAGAATAGTGGGCGAGGACTTTTTGGGGTGGATTTTTTGTTTTCCAGTCTGGGGAAGTTTTCCTTTTGTTTGCAGCATTTGCTAAATATTCTAACTGGCAGGTTGAAACATGCAAGGACCGGTTTTAAAGCTGATGTGTTTATTGTAAAGGTATTTGCAGCATTTTTGACCTAGAATCCAATACAGTAGCGTTGTACTTGCAGCATTTTTACACTAAAACCATTGATTTGCTCTAAAAAGTCGTTGCGGTGTTCTGGAATTAGTTTTGTATTGCGCGTTTTCTAATGCTACTGTAGTGTTTGCAGCACCCTCGGACACCATTTTTGTTTCTTGTTTCGTCGTTTGATGTTGGATATTAGCGCTTATGTTGTTGCATTGTTTCCTTTAGTTTTGCCTGCCCTTTGCCTACTGTTGTCACACTAACTGCCGCACAGATAAGTTTGATTGAGTTTCTGTCCGCACGGTATTTGCAGCGTTTTCACCCATAGAATAGCCTAGTGATTTTGTGACAGTACTTCGGAATTTGGACGTGCTGATGTAGCGGTGCAGCAGGGTGGGGTTGCGTTCCTGTGATGCTGTTTGTTTTACCTGGTTTTGTTATTTGTTCCTTCTATATTTTGTTGTTTTTTCCTCTTGTTACTCGTTCTTGATTATTCTTTGTCTTGTTCTTATTGTTCTTGTTGTTCGTCTTCGTTTTCTTCTTCTTGCTGCTGGCCGCTGCCGCCCTTCTGCTTTTCACTCACTATTGCTGTCATGGTGTTGTGATTCTGTTGGCCAGAGTGGATATTGCTGCGGAAGAAACCAACAACCCACGGCGAAACCAAATCCGAAAAACCATAATGACCACAGCGAAGGCACAGTGAAGCCACAAGACAAATGTCAAACTCAAGAACCTAAGAAAACAAGAAACCACATTAACAAGCTTCGGAACCCATAATTACGAGCTTGAATCTCTCATGTCCATGTTATTTGCAGCAGTTTTTGCTTTATAGTTTTTGCGGAGATTTCGTGGCGCGGCAGAGAGGTGTTGGAGGGTAAAGCGCAGCGCTTCCCAAAAAATAAATGTATCTGTATATTGTTTGAGCATTGTTTTCTCTTTCTTTTGACATTTTCTTGCATGGGTTTCATGTTTTTTTCTGTTGATGTTTCTTGTGTTTTCTTAAAACCCAGTTCTTGCAGCTCGTTAAAGATTGAATTTCTGATTGGGTTCGTATTGCAGCACTTTGATGGTGAAATATGTTCTGAGTATTTGCAGCAATTTGGGCTAAGGTTCCTGCTCTTGTTGTTTGATGTTCGAGATGGTTATGCAGTTATGCATGTGTTTTGTTTTTCTTTTAATCTGTTTCCCAATCTTTATTTGCGCAGTACTTGCATCGTTTGACAGTTGAGACTTTCATTGGCGCTGGAGCTGCCCTCACATGGCGTTCGGGCGCATGTTGCTGCTGTTGTTTTCTTGGGCTATTGAAATTGTTCTGGCTGATGATTGTTGGAAGTTAGGTCTTTGCAACACGTTTTTGTCTTTGTTGCTCATACAAGTCCAAAAGGGCAAGAAACACATTGATGGTCTTTTGTTGGACTTGTTTGTTTTTGGGTCTGCGGCAGTTTTTACCTGCATTCCCGAGCATTTTTAAATTTGAAACTTTAAAGTAAACACCCCATAAAACATCATAAAACCACACTAGTCAATCAAACCATCACTTCCATAAAACAACAACATCAGCCAAAGAAGCTAAAGAAAAAAGCAAGAAACCAATAATTGCGATCCAGATGAGCGATATGTCTTCATGAATGAGGGCACTGGCATGTGAAAAAGACAAGAAACCAAGCGGCCAAATAGCCTACAAATCCCAGAAGCAAAACGACCAAGAAACCAAGAAGACAAAAGCCACAAAACCTGCAACAACAATGCCAAGAAAGCAAAGACCACAAAATCTGCCGCAGATCAGGAGAGTAAAATCAAGAAAATAGGAAAATTGCCTTTCAGAAATATGTGTATATATGCACATAGCCTCGGCAGCCTCGGTTGTTACCTGCAAGCGGTTCCTTTTTTTTGACATGACTTGAACCTAACAGCTTGTACGGATTTGAGATGGAATTTGCCCTTTCCGCCGCCAGGTCCACAAATCTGCCTTGAAGACGTCTGCTGCAACGTGAGTACCCTTTTGATCGCTTTGATCTGAAAGATGCTTGAAAAGAAGAGCGCAGTCCAGACGGACCGACACATGTTGGTGGCCCAAACTGATGCCTCCATTAAGCCCTTGTTCACTTGTTCCCCAAATGCTCCAGTTGTGTGGTGACAGTGTGGTGACAGGCACTGAATGGTGTGGTTTTCCATTTTGGCTTTCACCAATCTTTCACCGCCGGTTTCAAGATGTTTCAAGAAGTTTCGCAGGGGAAATGTGCTGGTCGACTGTTTCAAACCTGAGCTTCCGGAAGTTTGCCGTTTTTGCGTCAAGGTTTTCATGGGTTTTCAGTCCTGACATATGTTGGTCAAAAAGTGAAGTGCCAGAGGAACACTTGCAGGTTCTGCTATTGCCGAAGAATTTTAAGGTAGAACTTGACCACTGACACCTCACGGCGAATGTTTCAGTGTTTTATACATTCTTAAAGTTTTGACATATCAAAATGTCAGGCAGCACCGACGAAATATTCATTCTATAGGAGCATCACCTTGGAACATGTGTTGAAATGTTCCTCGCCGTTGTACCTTTGTGGGATCCTCAGAAGCCTTGAGGATTGATGTTTTTTCTCCATGTTTCTCCATTTGCATCCTTTTGTCACGAAAATGACGCAAGGCCAAAGTGCAGATGTGATGTCGACGACAACTCAAAAAGCCAGTGCCATGGCAAACTTTGTGAAATGAACTGATCATGAGATGATATTGCAGAATTCCATAAATAATTGCTACAGTAAATGAGGTTTCAAGTTTGCTGTTCTCTGTTGGTTTCCATCCAGTCCAAGGTATATGCGTGTGTATATGTGTATTATACATGTATATATGTACATATATATGTACATATGTATATACGTATCAGGACGGAACGGGATGGATGTTATTAGCCCCCCCCCAACCCCCCCACCCACCCCATATTAACAATGTCGTGCGGGTATGTACCCACCCGACACCTTTTATTAATGTATAATTTATTGGATATGTTTCAAAAGTTTCCTAAATTTGGATTTATTTAGGAAATAGTTTCTGTAAGTTGGGTTCATTTAAGAAATAGTTTCAAATAGTTTCCCAGCTTAGGGTTGATTTAAGAAATAGTTTCTGTAAATTGGGTTTATTTAAGAAATAGCTTCTGGCCTCCACAGACGGCACTCCCCAATATACATGTATATATGTACATATTATGTACATATATGTACATATGTATACGTATGTATTTACAGTATGTATATCTGTATTATATATGTATGTATGTGTGTATATGTGTATATGTATTTGTGTATGTGTACATTTATATAGTTAATCTACTTATTTACTTATTAACATTTCTGTTTATTTGTTTATGTAATTTATATACATATGTTTGTGTTTTGACCCTCCAGTTTTAGAGATACCCAATTTGAACACCATTGGATGGTTAATCAACAATATATCATATGGCACATATGAGTTCGTATTGATGGCCCAAAATACTGGCCACTCTAGATCACCCATTGTCATGGCCAAAAATCGTCAGTCCGATCAGCGGATGATCACCATGATCCAACTGAATACTGATGAACATGCAAAAAAAATAGAAATCTGATGAAATCTGATGAAATCTGTCCATCAGATTTTGAAAATCTCCCGGCTCCAGGTAGTTCCATGGATTCCCCGGCATCGGTGCAAGCTGTACCGGTGCCGCCTGCGGCGGAACCTCTGAATTACATTGCCGCAGCGCGCCAGGGGCGTCAGGACGCCGTGGGAGACAAGGGTTGGATCATGGGGATGTCATGATAAAATATATGTTATACCAGTAGTACCGCACAAGGCGGTGGCGGAAATTTCAAAAATAGGAAACCTATAGGAGAGATTGGCTGTTGTGAATCAGGGATGGCAGAGCGAATCCACTGACGGACCGAAAGGTGCTTGAGGTCTCCTCGCTTTCTCTCTCTTTCTCTGACTATCTACTTACCTACCAGCCTATCTTCTGTGTATCTATTTGTCTATCTATCTATCTATCTATCTCTCTCTCTCTCTCTTTCATCTGTCTAGCTGTCTACCTGTCTGTCTATCTATCTATCTATCTATCTATCTATCTATCTACCTATCTACCTATCTACCTATCTACCTATCTACCTATCTACCTATCTACCTATCTACCTATCTACCTATCTACCTATCTATCTATCTATCTATCTATATGTCTACCTGTCTACCTGTCTATCTGTGGTGCAGTGTCATTCAGTGTAATGTAGTGTAGAGTAATGTAGTGTAGTGTAGTGTAGTGGAGTGTAGTAGAATGTAGTGTAGTGTAGTGTTATTTCGTGTAGTGGAGTGTAGTTGCGTAGTCGTAGTTGTAGTTGTACCAGTAGTGTAGTGAAGTGTAGTGGAAGGTAGTGCAGTGTAGTGTAATGTAGTGTCGTGGAGTGTAGTGTAGTGCAATGTAGTGTAGTGAAGCGAAGCGACATCTGAACCTCCAAAAGTGGCGCGAACATGTTGTGTTTTGTACATTTTGACTTCGAAATGTGCTTCGCGCCACAACGGCGTGCACTTTTTCCACATCCGAACCTCCAAAAGTGGCGCGAACATGTGGTGTTTTGTACATTTCGACTTGGAAATGTGCTTCGCGCCACAACGGCGTGCACTTTTTCCACATCCGAACCTCCAAAAGTGGCGCGAACATGTGGTGTTTTGTACATTTTGACTTCGAAATGTGCTTCGCGCCACAACGGCGTGCACTTTTTCGACACTTTTTCGACATCTGAACCTCCAAAAGTGGTCCGAACATGGTGTGTTTTGTTACATGTGGACTTCAAAATGTTGCTATCGCGTCCACAACGGCGTGCACTTTTCGAATCTCAACTTGACCACAAAAGTGGTCCGGAGTTGGTGTTGATTGTCCATTTTGGACTAATAAATGTGACTTCGCGCCATCAAGGCGTGCACTTTTTCGACATCTCAACGCCAAACAAAGTGGTCCGGAGCTGGTTGTGTTTTTGTACATTTGACTTCAACAAATGTGCGTCGCCGCCACAACGGCGTGCATTTTTTGACCATTTCAAACTTCCAAAAAGTGGTCCGAGAAGTGGTGTGTTTTGTTTACATTTGGATTCGGAAATGTGCTTAGAGCCACAAATGGCGCGGCAATTTTTTTCATCTATCATCTGGCCAGATGGCCATCAGCACCCGCCGCTTTAGCGAGCCTACTTTTCGACCCTCCGGAGCCACAAATCATTGGAAAAACACAGTGAATCGCGACTTTCCTACCTTTTCGCGCATCTGTATCTTCTTTCTTCTGACTCTTTCTCTTCTACTCTTCTCTCTTCTAATCTTTCTCTTCTCTCTGCCTCAGCCCTGCTCTGCTTTTCATCTGTCCATATTGTTGGAAGCTTGACCTCTAAACTTCCTTCGATAAGATTATATGCTATTATTTATATATATATATATACATATATAACACATACATACATATGTAACGGTTGGATATAATAGAACCAATGACTGTAAGAATATGGTTGGGTATTCTGTGAAATACATGTTTTTTTTCAGTGGGATTCGTTGAATATGGGATATCAACCACCACTATTATGTGTTGTAGGTTTATCTGAAAATGGGAAAACTGACAAATGGGTTATTTCAATAGATATGCAAACGGCAAAAATGATGAGAAACATGAGAAACCATCAAGTTTGTGCAGATACCCTATTTTCAGACAAACCCACATTGCATGGTTGGTAGATGAGTGTGCAGATGGGGCCAGAACATTCTCAACTAGTTGGCCTTTCCTGTTTTTTTCCGCTATTTTAAAACATCATTCCAGATGGCTTAATTTTGTTTAATGGGTTTGTAACACCACCACAATGTCAGTGGCCGGCTTATGAAGTAATGAGGTCCTTAGCACTCTATTGAAAGCGCAGAACACTGATGAAATCATATATGAAATCTTACAATCAGAAATCAACTCCGATTTGGTTTTCTCTGGAAGACTCCGTGCTTCATGGTCCTCTTGATGGGCCCCACAGCCCATCATGGTTAGTTGATTCGAAAGGGGTCACATCTTAGGTTGAACAACCAATTGGTAAATGGTCCAGTATCAAACGATATCCAACTGGCATGTCATATTTCATGGTTTCTATTTTCTCCGATAGCATTGAAACCCATGGGAGCCCGTCCCTTGTCAGGGTCTCTCTGGGGATTCGATTCATGATCCGCATTGGGAGGCTGAATATGGTGAGCGCTGGGGGGAGGGTGCTGCCCGATACTTCAGCATCGAAGCCGATTTCCTGGACGAGGCAACAAACAACTGTCAATCGGTGCCATATGTTTTTTGTTGGAATGGAACACCAGGCTTCTATCAGATTCGAAAAGGTTTCAAAAAGTTAACTCAGCGCCCAGGACCAAAGCATTCGATTGATGCCAGTGCCTGAAAGTCATCGCCTCAAAACATGTTCTGAAGAGCAGAAGCAGGTGATGCGATTGATTTACCTGGGCATTGTTTCCAAATGCCAACAATGGAAGGCTTCTTTTGCCCAATATCCGCTACAATCATGCCCACGGCCCAGATTTGCGTGCGGCAGTTTGTTAGTAAAACTTGCAGATCACAAGTCAGCCTTTGCTGTCATTCAGGAGACAGTGTTGTTAACAGGTCAGATCCAGTGGCAACTGTCGATGGTTGCGCCTATGAGAGGGACTACATTGAGAGGCTTGGTCTATGCCATGTCCAATGGAGCACCTGACGTTTTAATAGGGTTTGATATGTGTTGATGTTTCATCGCTGTTTGCTGCTTGGCATCGCAGGTGGTTCAGAGAAAGGCGACAAGCCAATCAGGCCATCACTTCTCCAACCACAGGCCCTTGGGAAAAAATGCAGTCCGAGTAGGGTTGCTGTCCGTTTCTTTGGTCTCCTTTTCACTTACCGAATCAAACCTCCCTGCAACCTATGATTTAGATCATTACTGTATAATACAGGTCGAATACCGTACAATATAGTTATACAGTTATACATAATTACATATAATATAGTTACATACAATTCTATTATTAATTTGTCCTTCAAGTATTTTGAAGGTGCATATGCGGATCCTCCGTAGAGCCAGACAGGGACCGGAAGAATGTGCCCAGATTGTGAATGGTTTTGATGCATAGAGATTGTCAAAGTCCAAGCTGCAAATTTGATTGGCTTTGACGAAACGTCAGACTTGAAAAAAGGCGCAAAAGTGCATGCATACATGTTTGATATGTAATTGTACAAAAGTCTGACACAAGAATCGACGACACAGTTGCAGCCAATCATTGATCTGTAACATCGCTTGAAACGGTAGGCCTACCACTGCCGTCAACAACACTCATGCCGTTGCTTGCGCTACAACGTGTGGAAGCCTTAGCACGTGTCATCGTTGGGATGTTCCCACCCTCAAAACGTTCGAAGAATTGATATATTATAATTATGTCTTTGTGATGATACACGATACAGGTTGCATATGATACATCTTACATCATGTATATCCC